CCCGCGGCTCTCCCGCGCCGCCCCCGCCGCTGCTCCCGGCGCCGGCCGCCCCGTCTGTGCAGCCCCTGCCTTCCTCTCCCACCGGCCCCAAACAGAAGAAAGACACGTTTCTATTTACAAAGTATATATTTAAACTCACATAAAAAGCAGGTCTCATATGGACATTCACGGCTGGCAGAAGACACGGACTTAAGCTTCACTTCTGAGACTGAGATTTAGCCAATTTTTTTTTTGTACAAGTCTTAGATTTAAATAATTCACGCACACACCCCCACACATTCAGCATATACGTCGCTATATACATACACACATATACACCCACATGTATGTCTTGCTTTATATACGCATGTGTCTAACTGCACACACGCATACACACTTATACTGGGCTGGAGTGAAGCGCACCGCATCCAAACCGTACCCTGACACCGGCAGGAGGCTGGAGCTCTGCTGGGGGCTGTTCTGCAAAGGGAGGTTATTTTCCAACCTTCGGTATCTCAGCAGGTGGAGGAAGGGCAGCTAAATCCCCATCACTGTCCATGTGACAACATATGCGTCCCATGCAGGCTTCTCGAGGGACCAGCACTAACCCCGACACACTGCTTGCTTCAGTTCTTCGTACAAATCAAGTTAAAAATCTCAATTTTACAAAATATGCCTTAAAAAATAATAGCAACTCGCAGACCTGGCTCCCTTTGTACAGTCAATACAGCATCCTCTTGCTACGTCCTCTGACAAAGGCAAAAGTCCCAGAAGATGGAAGGGGAAGGGGACTAGGAAAGGTGGAGCCATAATTACCCAGATGGACCTAATGGTAGCAAAGGCTGCTCCTTGACCGAGCCCCTTTCTCTCCCCATTAGGCCCCATGTGCTTTCATGTTATGTGCAGTCCCCAAATTAGAAAGCATTTAAGAGCTTCACTGGGCCAATCGGGATGGAAAAGGCCAATCTCTCCCAGCCCTGGCCCTTAGGGGCTGCTGGACAGATTTGTGCTTTTGAACCGACAGAGATGCTTAAATCAATACGTTAGGACACGAGGACACCTGCTATACCTCAACTAAGAGCACACAAAACGCTTATGCTCTCTACCCAGACCAGGCCAAGAGACCCCAACCTCAGCTCGCTCAAGCTGCACTAGCTTACAAAGAGCAGGCAAAAGAGCCAGCAGTCGCGGGGCTCCTGCATCCGCAAGACACAACCATGAGCTTTCACACGGTAGCGGAGGGTTTCTGCCAATACCAACGACGGAAACTGCTGCATTTTGTTCAGAGCCATTAAATCCTCACTGTTGTGGCCTGCCTGAGCCCTGGGAGAAAGAAACTGCACTGTCCTTCAAACCCAGAAGAAATATGCAGGCAAATAAAAATACAAAAAGCCACCAGAGTCAGCAGGAGCTGCTCCACGCACAGGAATATTTAGCCTCTTGGCTATTGTTTAACTAGCAAAAGAAAAGGGAAATATTTATTGTCCCTCAACGCATAAAGGTGGCTCTGGGATTCGTCAGAGATGTGGACATTACAAAACACATTATCTGGCGTCTTCCAACAGTCCAAAGAGAACTGTGGATTTGAAAAGAGAAATCCACTTTCTATAAGAGTATAAAGCATCCAACTATAGGCAGTGACACGCTACCCTCCCAAACTCCTCTGGCATTTCAGGAATGTAAACAGATTTTTTTTTTTTTTTGAAGTGGGTGGGGGAAAAAGAATCAAGCGACCAGACAAAATGAAACCAGATTCTCAGCTCAGTTCTGTCTCCCATAACTGCTATGACAATTCTATTAAAGTGCATTTCAGTATCACCCCTTTGAGGAATCTTACACACACAAACCTCCTCTGTCTTTGTAAGAAAAGGTAATTCAAGTTAATACTCCACTAGAACAGTTTTAGCCTTTTTTTTTTTTTAAACGGACTTCTGCTTTTCCCCACCCCAATTTTGTAGCAACATTTTTTTTTCTTTTAACTGGAAACACCCCCCTCCCCAGCAATACTGTAAATTCAAGTGCTTACTTCAACTGTCAAGGGTGACAGCTCTGGATACAGCACACTTGATTGTACAAGCAACACCTTATATCACAATCAAGAAACCAGGGCACTTTGCCCATCGAGGGAATAACACTTCCCCCTTCACCATCCATAGCATCATATGAAAAATTAATAGTTAAAAAAAAAGCATAATTAGCTATGAACATCATTCAGTATGTACATCGGCTCCTGCAACAGATGCATGAACTCCGTTAGTTCTCAGTTTTATTGTCCTTTCTAAGAGCAACTGAGCAGTCACTGTTGTCTCCATTTAAATAAAACAACTTAGAGTTGAAATATATATATAGATATATATATAAGCATTTTCTTTTTAAATAACATATTTACATCTAATAGAAAATATAACTCTAGAGATAATCTTTCCAACGAAATGTAAGACAAAAAAAAAGGACAGTTTCTAAATCATCTCCAGGAAAAAAAAATAATAATAAAAAGGAAAAACCACCAAGCTCTTGTCTGGATCTAGACTGGAGAAAAAAAAAAGAAAAGGAAAAAAAAAGAAAAGAAAAAAACCACCACCAGCACCCCTGGAAAAAAGAAAGGAAAAAAAAAAAAAAAACACACTCATCGCTTTTCTCTAAAGAATCCTTGGTCCGTGCTGCTCTCTTTAATTGTGACGGTCAAAAAGTTAGATGTCACATCAGTTACCACCACCTTCTCCAGGTTGTTGAGGGACGGGCTCCAGGACTCCTCTTCGGGGTCGCCCAGAATCCGCGACACGGGGATCCTGGCAATGAGGGAGGGCCTCCCCGCCTGGCTGCCCACACCGTCTCGGTAGAGGCTGCCTATGGAGCCTGGGCTCACCGAGCTGTGCAGGATCTTGGGCCCACCGGGGTCCAATCCTCCTTGCCCCTTGGGGTCCAGAAAGTCGGCCCTGTGCTTGGCGACCCTGGCAGGGTAGGTCTCGGCGGCTCCAAGCTTCATGCCAACCTCCATTCTGTTGGGGCTGGACATGGCACTGGAGAGGTCGGGCTCCTGCCGCCTGGCTAGCTGGATGACACTGTGTCCCGAGCTGAACTTGGCCGCCCCCGGGGCTGACTCCTCTATCTTCCTGGCTTTGAGGTAGTCCCCCACCTTGTCCCCCGGCTCCCCCAGTTTCCTCTTGGAGGCATCCAGAGTCTCCGTCAGGTCCTTGTAAAGCTCTTTCCTAGGCTTCGGGCCTCTCTTTTTGGGGGTCTCCCCAGGCTTCTCTTCCACTCTTATAACCCGGTCCCGGATGCTGTCTCCCTTGGGGGTGCTGGTGCTGCTGCTGCTGCTGCTCTGGGGAGCCAGGGCTATGTTTCTCAGTCCTTCCCTAGCTCGGGATGTGGAGCCCAGCTCCTGGGGGGACCTGCCAGGATACGGCACCCGGATCCCCCTGGAAGAGTCACTGCGGAATTCATAGGTTTTGGCTTTTGCTTTTGCCTGGGCCTGCAAAATGCAAAGAAGATAAATCAACCGGTGACTTTATTATCCTGCCAGCCGGCTGCGTAATTACAAGTTGCGAGACAAGAGGCTGCCTTTGCAATGAGCACTCCCAGCAGCGCTGGAGAGGGACCCTGCTACTTGCATCCCACCTTCCACGCTCCCTGCTGCGGCATGCGACCCCCTTCGCTCACCGGCCCAGCCACAGCAACGTGTGCACAGGGCTCCTTACCTTCAACAGGAAGGTTTTGGGCTTGGGGCCTCGCTTTTTAGGCCCGTATAGCTCCATTTCCCGCTCCCTAGAGGTGTTACAAAAAACAGAGCTTCAATTCAGCATAGCTACAAGAAAGCAAAATATTTATAAGTGCAAAGGATATGACTAGCAAAGGCCTTGTACCTCTCCTCAAAGGCTGCAAGCAACCGGGCATCCAGAATGTTTTCCTCAGGTTCCCAAGTGCTGTATCTGGCAGGCGCAGCACAGAGAGAGGAAAGCGCATCAGGAATAAGTAATAATGATAATAAATACATGAAAATATAAATAATAATAAATACATAAAGAAATGGCTTCAACTTCCCTTTCTACTACAATGAGAAATAACAGCTACAATGAACCATCTTCTGCATAGTTCCTAGGCTGCAGAATTGTATAAACAGTCTACTTACTTCTGAGACCAGCCCTTCCATTTTACGAGATATTCCATGCGCCCCTGCAGATGCAAAGAGGAAAAAAAAAAATGCATGGAGGGAAATCGCGATAACCGCTTGCAACAAAGCTGCACATGCAATAACATGCATGCAGCAAACACACGCCTGCACCGAAGGCGGGCAGCAGAAATACGCGAGGAGGAGGGTCGGGGGGAAGAGCTGCAACAAAAAAATACGCGTGCGGCAGGCGCGGGCGCGCAGGGCCGCCCATGCAGCGCG